CTCTGTGGTGTCACACATCCCACAGTGACGTCACACACCCCTCTATGGTGTCACCCCACAGTGACATCACACACCTCTGTGGTGTCACACATCCCACAGTGACATCACACACCTCTGTGGTGTCACACATCCCACAGTGACATCACACAGCTCTGTGGTGTCACACATCCCACAGTGACATCACACACCCCTGTATGGTGTCACACATCCCACAGTGACATCACACACACCTCTGTGGTGTCACACATCCCACAGTGATGTCACAGACCCCTCTATGGTGTCACACATCCCACAGTGACATCACACATCCCCTCTATGGGGTCACACATCCCACAGTGACATCTCACACACCTCTGTGGTGTCACAGCAGCTGTCACATGTCCAGCAGTGACGTCACCACCCACCTCAGGGCAGGAGCACCCCACGAGTGTTCTCCCACCCACCAGCTACATCACACCACGCCCTGTGCAGCTGCGTGATGTCACTCCCGCTGTCACACGGCTGGCAGTGATGTCACACGTGCCCGCACGATGTCCCACATGCACATGTGACATCACTGCTGGGCACCACCCGCCCCGTGCCCCTCCCCGCTGTGCCCCGCGGTGACCTCACCCTCCGCCGGGGACATGGAACGGCACCAAGGACAGCCCGGGGCTCTGGCAGGGGCGTTTATTGGGATGGGGGGTCTCCGGGGCGGGGCGGGGCAGCCGGGGGTGGGGGCAGGGCCTGGCTGCTGCGGGGCTCCGGGGGTCGCATGCGGGGGGCGATGGGGCAAAGCGGGGGCTCCTGGGCCTCGGCGGGCGGCGGCGGGGGGGGGCCGGTGGCGAGGGGGGTCCGGGAAGCAGCTGGCGGCCCCTGCAACAAGGAGAGAGCAGTCAGCCCTGGGCCTGGCCCTGCCTGCATCCCGCACCCTGAGCCCTGCCTGTGCCCTGAGCCCTGCCTGCTCCCTGTGTCCTGCCTGCTCCCTGTGCCCTGCCTGCTCCCTGAGCCCTGCCTGCTCCCTGTGCCCTGCCTGCTCCCTGTGCCCTGCCTGCTCCCTGTGTCCTGCCTGCTCCCTGTGCCCTGCCTACACCCTGAGCCTTGCCTGCTCCCTGCCTGCACCCTACACCCCGAACCCTGAGCCCTGCTTGCTCCCTGCCTGCACCCCACACCCTGAGCCCTGCCTGTGCCCTGAGCCCTGACTGCACTCTGTGCCCTGCCTGCTCCCTGCCTGCACCCTACACCCTGAGCCCTGAGCTCTGCCTGCTCCCTGCCTGCACCCTGTGCCCAGCCTGCACCCTGTGCCCTGCCTGCACCCTGCCTGCACCCAGTGCCCTGCCTGCTCCCTGCCTGCACCCTGTGCCCTGCTTGCACCCTTCCTGTACTCTACACCCAGTGCCCTGCCTGCACCCTGCCTGCGCCCTGTGCCCTACTTGCACCCTGCCTGCAGCCTACTCCCTGAGCCTTGCCTGCACCCTGCCGGTGCCCTGCCTGCACCTTCTCCACACCCTGCCTGCACCCTGTGCCCTCCAGCTGCACCCTGCCTGCACCCTGCCTGCACCCTGCCCACGCAGTGCTCCTGCAGCCTGCACCGTCTCTGTGCCCTCCCCCTGCCCACACTCTCTCCGTGCCCTACTTGCAGTCCACCCACACCCTGCCTGCACCCTTGTCCTGGCTCCACTGCTGCCTGCACCCTGCCCTCACCCAGCCTGGGAGTATGGGGGGACCTCCAGCCTGCACCTCCCTGGGCAGAGCACCCTGGCAGAGGGGGCAGAGGGGGAGAGCCCATCCCCCCTGCTGCCAGCCTGCTCAGCCCCCTAACGAGGCAGCCCTGAGGAACCTCCAGGCCCTAAGGAGCTGCACAGCACCTGCACTTGGCAGCTGCTTCCCCACTGCAGCCCCAGGGCATCCTCACCGAGTCCTCACTGCAGCCCCACTGAATTCCCACTGCATCCTCAGTTCATTCCCATCACACCCTCACTGAATCCCTGTTGCATCCTCAGTTCCTTCCCATTGCATTCCCACCGAATCCCCATTGCTTTCACACTGCATCCCCACCACATCCCCACTGCTTCCCCATTGCATCCCTGCTGTGTCCTCACTGTGTTTCCACTGTGTCCCCACTGGATCTTCAGTAAATCCCCACTGCATCCTCAATTTGTTCCCACCACAGCCCCACTGAATTCCCACTCATCAGCACATCCCTGCTGCATCTCCCTGAATCTCCAGTGAGTTCCCACTGCATCCTCACTGCATCCCCACTGCCACTGCACTACATCCCAGTTCAATTCCCATTGCATCCTCACTTTATCCCTTCTGCATCCAAGTTCCATCCCCGCTCCATCCTGAGTTCATCCCCACTGCATCCCAGCTGCATTCCAGTTCCATCCCCGCTACAGCCTCAGTTCCTTCCCGTTGCTGCCCCATTGCATCCTTTTTGAATCCCCACTGTTTCCTCACTGTATCCTCAGTTCCTTCCCACTACATCTCCACTGCATCCTTGTTGAATCTCCACTGCATTCTCTGTTCCTTCCCACTACGTCTCCACTGCATCCTCCTTGCATCCCCACTCCATCCTCACTGCATCCCAGTCCCATCCCTGCTCCATCCCCACCAGCCCCGCCACAGACACGTGGCCAAGCCTGCATCACGCCCTCCCCGCCGCTAACCCCAAACCAGCATTCCCGGTATCCGAGGCCATTCCGCGCTCCCGGTGCCGGCTCGGCACAGGGCACGGCCCGGGCACGGAGCAGCTGCCCCCCGGGCTCCGATGCCACGCGGCCTCGGCACCGTGGGCGCTTTTTAAATTTACCTTTTCCTGCCAGGAGACTGTGACACAGGCTTTTAAAAATAGCATGTGCTGAGGCGAGGCGCTCGGGGTGGTGTTGCTAAGGGAGAGATTCAATCCAAATCTAGGGCTGCGCCTTCCCATCCTACTTCCCATCCTTCCCAACTACTACGGCGCGCGCCCAAAATTAGGGCAAGGCAGGGGCTGCCTGCTCGCGTGCTTCCATCTCCTGGGAGGAAAAACCCCTTCTTCCTCCCAAATCTGTGCAGGGAAGGATGCTCCATCTCATATCTGCACGGGGAAGGATGCTCCATCCCAAATCTGTGCAGAGAAGGATGCTCCATCCCAAATCTGCATGGGGAAGGATGCGCCATCCCAAGTCAACACAGGGAACGATGCTCCATCCCAAATCAGCATGGGGAAGGATACTCCATCCTAAATCTGCACAGGGAAGGATGCTCCATTCCAAATATGCATGGGGAAGGATGCTCCATCCCCAATCTGTGCAGGGAAGGATGCTCCATCCCAAATCTGTGCAGAGAAGGAT